TCTCTCTCTCTCTCTCTCTCTCTCTCTCTCTCTCCCTCTGTCTATCTGTCTATACGGACAAGGCATTAATTACAACATACAACATGTTTTTAACTAAAGCCTTTAAAATAGAGGTCCTGTATTGTAGTCTACGATGGGGCTAATTTTGGCACGCGAACAATCGAACGTTTACATAACTCGTGTTTTCCATTGAGCATTGCACCAGCTGTTAATCTTTATATCTCAAATCACAAATATCCGGTCTTTTTATAATAATAATATCCTGGGCAATATAGACCTAGCTGTCTCCAATTTGTAAATTAGAAGTGAAATTTTGGTAGATCGAGGCGAGTACACATTTATGATAGAGGCCTAATATGTTCCATAAACGTCAAGAGTATTCGTAATGGAGCATAACTCTTGCAGATTTTACATCATCTATAGATATTTCAGGGTTATGCACCTTAGCTTGTCGCAGTTCTATTACTGCCGGGTGCTTTATCAATGACGAAATTCCCTTTTTCCCCCTTTTTTTTGGGGGGGGGGGGGGTAAAGTGTTTTACAGCGCTCGCAACTACATAAGGTCATATGAGCGCGCGGGACACATAAAACATATTTGGTAGGAAATTTTGAATTTTGCCCAGGTGGCGACCGAGCCTACTCTTATCGATTTTAGACCACCAAGGGATCTTTAACGTGCGCAACTTGCACACGGGATCTCCGAGATTTTTCGTCCTTGTCCGAGAAGACAGCAGTAACAAAGAGTCAAGGGGTAGCAGTAGAAAGGCTTTAGAAAGAGTCAGGAGCTCATAGGAGGGGGCAAAGGAGGTGAGGGGGTGGGGGGGCAGAAAGTGGAGACGAAAGCAGACAAGAAAACATTCCTTGAGAGCAGGAAAGGAGGTGAAAGAAGACAATTTAGAGAAGAAAAATTTCCGTCGCGAATTCGAACCCGCCGGGGCCTATTGAAAGAGAAGCCAACACCTTAACCGCTAGGCCACCAGAGCCCCCTGAACCAACGGGTTGACCAATCATAACGACTCAGTCTTGGGCCTACTTACTTGAGGGAAACACAGCGGAGGCGTAGAGTATAATATATTATAATAATGCATTGTACTATTATTTGAAATACCAAATCTGTTTCTTGATTTTGGATCTGGATCTAGAAAGCTTAGTATAATGGTGAAAGAAATAGTAGTCTGGACGAATTCTCAATCGATTATAATTATGATTATACAGTATAACACGGATAGCTCGAATTCGTCGGGACAGGCCTCGGTAGTTCGAGAGATCCGTAGTTCGAGAGATATCTTACAAAGATAAAGAAGCAAAGAAAAAAACAACCCCGGGACCACAGGCACAGTTCAACGTATGCGTGATTTCGAGTCTTCTGAGTTCGACCTATCCGTGTTATACTGTAATCACAATTTATAGTTTATTCTAGACTAGCAATGTGAGTGCAGAATGAAAGCTTGGAAAATACGGAGTGGATCCTGTCAAAACATAAGAAATAAACAATGGGTCAATGGCCCAGTATAATTTTTATACCCCCCCCC